AATACATACATGTATAGACAACTTGGCATAAATGTTAAACAAAAGGATTTGTAACACATACTTTCGCTCTCCAATGTGCAATTAACAATGATTTATTGTCAAATGATGTAATGCTGCTGTTGTTGCTGCTATTGCTACCGCAACACAGACAAACACAAAAAACATATCATTGAAAATAATAAAAATGCAAAATGCCAAAAAATGTTTTTTTTTTCTTCTTTTTCATATATAAATAAACCACCACTATGTATATATCGCCGTATTTTAAGGCTTTTATTTGCTGTTGTTTTTTTCTACCACATAATGTGCGAAGAATTATTTTTTTTTTTTATTATCATTTATTGTTATTATTTTATACTTTATACTCTCACATGGTTACCACTGGCCTATTGTTGTCACATACATACATACGTATATATGAATCTATGTCAATCCCCATCTATCTGGGGCTGAGATATATCAATGGCTGAGTGGTTGGTTGGCTGGCTGCTGGATTGCATGAATGGTTGGTTGGTTGTCTGTATGATTATCAAGTATTATCGAAAATTTCAATGGGTTCATAGACATGCAAAGCATCTATTATATACGTACGTACATACATAAATCTTTTTATATATTGCTTATATACTTAGGATATACAATGTGCATTGTTTCTATTCTCGCCATAATTTTGTTCCAAATTTCAATGAATTTACGGAGAGGGGTAGAGACAAAAGATATGCTGAATCTGATATATAATTTGAAATAAAATCAATAAATTACATACACACATAGACAAAGTAAGGATCCCATTGTATGTGTATATAATTTCCAGTTAGTTGACATGAAAGCTAGTACACTTCAAAGGACCACAACCATCGCTACCACCACAACCTAATTTTATCATGCAAAGTACCACCAATTATCACCACAACAGTAAAGGCAGTGTCGTAATACTTTTCATACAAACAAACAAAACAAAATATATATTCGCTGACTGTCAGCGCTGAAGTTAAGTATATTAGCTGTTAAGAAAGGGGGACAATTGTTAAAATATGCACATATTATACTACAAACAATAGAAATATTTGTCACACACACTCTCATTCGTATGTAACACACCTTTCCGCTCCCCCTTTCCGTAGGGAATAGCTTAATGGGAATATGTTTTATTTTTCCATATAATAAATGGATTGCATAAAATTATGTTAACCTTTTGGAAAGAAGACAAAAGGAGGAACCATTAACCACAGCGGCCACTTAGGGGATAAGTTAGGGTGAGGCATCGGAGGCATAACATATATTTAATGAATAATTATGGAATTGTTCGTGTTATAATAATTACATCGTAAATATTTTGAATAATTTTAAATGGGACATAAATTAAAATCCTGCTTATATCCCTTAGAGTATTTTGATATAATAATACCTACGAAGGGTCACTAAAAATATGCCTGGCCTACTATTAAAAAAGCAAATGTTTATCATAAAAAATTATGTTATTGTTTTTTTTAAGTATTTGCGATTTATACACTTTTTTCGTACGTTCAATCAAATTTCCGAGTTTATTTGTTAACTCCGTTTGAGTTACTTTCAAAATATATGTTTTTGAAAGCCCCAAAATCATTGACAAAAAATTTTACTTTTCACACCGTCTCTAATAGCTCGATGTATTTATCAGAGAATCCATAAATTACATACATAAATTCCGGATCAGAATAAAATTCTATGTTGATACGTCCTTCGGTGTGAGCGTCTTTTGTAATTGCGATAGAGCACGTCCTATTTATAATGTAGCTTCGAACTACAAGTGCTTCTAGGATGTTTGGTATAACAAATTTAATTTATCGGTTCACGTTTTGATATAGGAGAGTACCGTTATCCAGTTTTCGATATTTAAGGAATTTGTATATAGAAAATAGAGAAACTAACTTAATTCATATAATGATAGTCGCCATTATTAGCAAAATCCGAAATAATTTTTTTTAATATTGGTCCACTTCGGTATTTGATGAAGTTTGACCACGTTTTCAGCCAAAATTGCTATAATAATACACCACACAAATATTTTGTAAGGATATTATAGCCTTGTGCGGTCCCAGGAGTTTGTAATGCTGCGCATTATTGGTCATAGACCCATCTTTTAGTATACCGATCGTCCTATACCGGCTAGCTACTTCGATCTATACATGTGTGTCCGTTCGTCTGTCCATAATAATTTGAAAACATGATACAGGCTAAAGAACAATCGCCACGAAGCATGTAATATTTGGGAAAAAATATTTTTGACACACTTCTGTATTAGAGGCCAATATGATCCGAACATTACAAATCTTACGCAGAGAAAGGGGACGGGCGTGGAATGTTTTGATGGAGATCAGTCAGTATTTAGCAGGTCATATGGACCCAAACATTTGCTTGAAAAATTCAAGAAAATGTATTCTATGGCGTATATATTTATTGATGAAGGACATCGACCCGAGAAGTTGATAGTATATCCAAGAAGAGGGGTTGACTTGTACATTGATAACAATTTTATTGTCATATCTACTTGGATGTCGAACAGTTACTTAATAACTATTCCGATATTGTATAGCATTACCATTACCACATTAGAGAGCATACATTTTCGAGCTGATAGCTAGAAATTTTGCATGAGGTTCAAGTTATGGTCAAGGACGACGTCTCTATTATCTCTCTCGGTGATTAATTTTTGTACAATTCGAATCTTATTTTTGTATTTTTTACACATTGAATGACATTGATGATAATGAAAGGTCAATACTAAGCGGATCGAATGAGCCAAAACATTTTTGTGTAAAATAACAAAATTCGAATCTTATGGAGTATTTCGTCCAGGCTCGGAAAAGATGCCACAGTCATTGAGAGCTGTTGGCATATAATCTCCCTACGAGATATGTATAAATATTGGCTCAAGTCTCGGCTAACTCCCAATACAGTTTGACTTTAATATTATGTTTTTGCTCATAGGTAAAATCTTTCTACTAATGTTTATTAATATATTCTTGATTTGGTACATACTAGCCAATTTTAGTTTTTTGATAATTTCGGAATGTTCAAGACCCATTTTCCAACTTCATAATCTTAAGTTTGATATTCCCTTTTCTCCTGACAGAAATGTATCAGGACATAAAACTTATAGAAAAATCTTAATGACTGTATGTATTTTGACTGTGCAACTCGATGTAGAGATTACAAAAAGTTCTGCCCGGCCGAACGTATAGGTGTCATTGGTTGTCATTGATGGCCATATCAGGTCTGTATGTTTTGTTTTAAAAATTTTATTGTGGGTGAGGGACCAGAAGAAGTGAACCAATGTGACCCATTAAAGATATTTTTTAGTTTTGGCAAAATTTCGATAAATTCGGGTTCTCATTTAGCTTAATATGGGATTTACTCATAATTAAAATGTGGACCCTTTTTGGAGATTTACTAGAAAAAGTGGATCTTGACATGGTAAACATACTGAAATATGTCACATTTTGATAACGATTTTTACCTTTTTTAGCGTTATAGAAGATGTGGAAATATATTCGCTTCAATCGAACATGACTTTCGTTTTTAAGACATATAACGTATGCAGCAGCTAGGATAACTGAACGGGCATGAACTGATGAATGTACATATTGACTCTAAAATCTGTATATGATTTAGCCCAGAATTCTCTCTATGTTAGTATTGTGATATTGTCACCTCAAATCATTGTGCAAACGCATTAACGCTGAAAAATATCAGCGTTAATTAGTGAGGAATTCAAAATAACTTACAAAAATATCAATAATTAGTTGGTCTAAAGACGTGTCTTCTGAAACTATTAATAAGAGTAAAAAGGGCCGAATTCCTAACATGGACCTAAATTGCAAAATGTCTACCCGGGTGTTTTTCTATCTTCCTTTAAAATAAAATATCAATTTTCAAACATCTCCGCCAGAGAATGGTCTACAATCCATAACGACCCGAGTCTCTTTATGTCAAAGTATGTCACCTCAACCCATTCTGCAAACGCATTAAGGCTGCTACAACAGCAACTAAAAAATGTCATTGGCAAAACGGAGAAAGGACGGAGCGTTTTAAGAGGGCTTTGTAAAAACATTGAGAATTTTCGGGAAACATGTTGTTACCGTGCGGTAAAATGGGGAACCTATTTTCATATTTTTGGTTTTTTGGGTTCATGTAAAGACTCATGTAAATTTCTTTGTATAAATATTAAATGTTGAGTATGGTGATTGGTCATTCCCAAATGTATGTATTTCTTCAAAAAATGACAATATTTGAGCTTTATTGCATTTTGGAATGCAGTATGGCGACAACATGTAAAGTTTGGTCGATCGGATCTTTATATACTCTTACCAAGAGATTTTGCTATAAATATATTGATATTTTTTCTTGACATATGTTACCTATTGAGAAACCGCAAATCTACAATAATTCATTTGGAAATTACGGTTAGGACCTTTAAACTACGGAATCTTTCTATGACGGCTATTTTCAAAAATCCACTGAAATCTTAAAATGTCAAATTACAGCCACTTTACTTGGAATTTCAAAATACTCAAATTTGGTCTTTATTTCAGATATTTTTTTTTAAACTACACAATATCGATAAATTTCCCACAAAATTTCAAACATCCTTATTATCTTTGCCATACTAGTAAATAAACTTTATCTGACTTAATCTTCCTTTTGAACTACAAAAATTAGTAAATACATTACCGAAGAAAATAAAAACTAATAAAAAATGTCAACCACCAAATATAGTGGTTAACCTACAAAATTGAATAGACATTTGCCAAAAGCCATTTGATTTATAATAAGCCAACTTTAACAACAGCATCCAACAACCACAAAAATTCAACAGCACAGTAATAGTAACAACAACACAAATAATAATAAACATAAAAACAATAAAAATAAACTGGACTAAATAATAAAAACTGAAATAAGTAACTGTGGCGAATATTAATTATCCTTTTTTTGTGTCGTCTATTTTCTATTTACAGGTTGGCAGCGGCTCAGGAAGCGGCGCTAGCAGGGCATCAACAGGGCTCCACAAGCGGGGGGCACTCGGGTCGAAGGGGAGCCCATCGCTTAGCTGATAGAATGGGTGGCCCAAAGAAAGAAGAGACACCACCTGGTGGTGGTCCCACATCATTATTTATCCTCACCGAGGATAATCCAATTAGAAAATACACACGTTTCATAATAGAATGGCCGCCCTTCGAGTACACTGTGTTATTGACAATCATTGCCAACTGCGTTGTGTTGGCATTAGAAGAACATTTGCCTGAGTGTGATAAAACAGTATTGGCCCAAAAGCTGGTAAGTTTCAAGTGCCAAAAAAGCAAACAAACAATCCTAAAAAATACTCAAATCAAAAAATGGATCCATGGCTTGTTGCAACAGAAGCCATGCAGTCAGGATGGCTATTAGTCGGGCGAGCAAGCATAAAACGCCAACGGCCAGCTGTTGCCATAAATTAATGTTTAATTGAATTTTTTTGTCGTTCGTTCTGAAACAAAAAACGGCGGTTTGCTGGCAATTTTGTTATTTATTGAAAATATGTTTGTCCATTTCTTTCTTCTTTTTCATCTTTAGGAAAAAACGGAGACCTATTTTTTATGCATTTTCTGTGTAGAAGCATCGCTCAAGATCCTTGCCTTAGGTCTAGTTTTGCATAAACACTCCTACCTCAGGAATATTTGGAACATCATGGATTTCTTTGTAGTAGTGACGGGGTAAGTTTTTCATTTTTTCGATTTGCAATGAAAATTCCAAATTTCTTTTGTTAAAATATTTGTTTGTTTGTTTTTATTTCTATTTCGTGTTTTTGTTTTGTCTTGAAAACAAAAAACCACCAATTATGTTTTTATTTGTTATTGTAATTTTACTTTATTAACAACTTTTTTCCTTTAAATATTAACACACACGTTTCAAATTTTGTGAGTGTTTGTGTGATCCAATCTACAACTCTCCCAATCTTCGTTGAGTATGCGTTTTTTTGAAAAACCGATACTTTTTCTTTTCATTCTATTTTTTTTTTCTTTTAAAGAACCATATTTTCCTGCAAATTCTCCCCCCGCCCCTAACACCATGACTCTTTTGTTTGTTTTTCGTTCGTTTTCTGCGAGCCGTTTCTAACGCTTTCTTTCTTCTCTCTTGCTGTCTTTTATTTGTGTTTAAATTAAAAAAAATAACTCTCATTTTCTTGTTTTGTTTTATGACATTTTTGTGTTGTTCTTGTTTTTGTTTATCCTGTTTTTTAAATTTTGCGCATTTTGTTTTTTTTATTTGTTTGGTTTTCTTTTTTCTATTTTTTTTTATAATTTTCACAACTTTATCTCGCCGCGTTGGTTGCGTTCCCAATATAAAAAAACCGAAATGACCGCAATTTTGAATGAATGATTTTTGTACACCACCACCAAACAATATGGGGTTTGGGTCCAATCAAAACACACACACCTCAACCACGCACCCCAACCACAACTCACATTAGAGCCATGACAATCTTTGCCGAGGCCAACATAGATGTCGATCTTCGTATGTTAAGATCATTCCGTGTTTTACGGCCATTGAAACTTGTTTCAAGAATTCCAAGTAAGCTTCAATATTTACTTTCTATCAACAACAACAACAATAAACAAATTACAAATCACTGTGTAGGATGAAATTAGTTCTTCAAAATACAATCGATTATTTCAAAATCTTAGGCAGCTAGATAAATATTTGTTAACAAAAATTGAATTAAAATAAATAATATTTCTCTTACATCTCTAGTAATGAAAACCAAAACCGCTAGGGTAATCATCGTTAGTTTGATCTATGTATCATCTAGATAAAACTCAATGTGTGTGTGTCTGTGACTTAAGTCAACACAAAATTGTCATTTTAATTTTCTAAATAAATTTTAGTGTTTTAGAAAGCTCGAACAAAGTATTTATTTAAAAAAATTAGTGAGTATCATAAAAAATGTCTCAAATCTTTTAAACAAGGTGTGTGTCTCTAATACTACTTTTTTATTTTTAATTTTATATATTTTAAAACATCTAGATATAGCATAATATGTGTAGTCTAAACCTAACAACAATTTGAAACATAATAAACTTACATGTATGTAAAATACATTAATAAGAAATATACGATGTGGATGTAATAATACGAGAGTTAATATATATATATATATCGACGCCTCCGAACCATAGTATGCTAAGTCGACTTAGCATGTTTTAAAGTTCTTTACGTGTTTAGATACTACGGCCCTTAATTTAAATTCACTGAAATTTTGGTAATCATCGGCCAATCCAAACCAAAGTTATAAGCAAAAATGTACTTAGCATGGCACGTAAGATTAAAGAAACTTCCATACTTTGAAAACTTCTACTGAAAAACTCACTTTTCAGACTTAGCATACTATGGTTCGGAGGCGTCGATATATATACATCTGTTCTATGCAACATTAAAAGTTGACTTGAACATCTGACATATCCATTGTACGGATAGACATTTTGTAGCCTGAACGTAGTCAGAGTGCCAATCACAAACTGGGTTCAAATCACTTCGAAAGAGAAAAACGTGTTTCAAAGTGGGTTTCAAATATTTGTGAGGCTTACATCCTCCTACATTGAGTCCGAAGCCCCCTGACATTATATAGAATCAACTTCGGCATCAACGCAATGAGAATGACACAAAATTGGAATGGAAAATAGGTAAATGTCAACACTAATAAAGCAATATCCCCAACCACTGCACATAATTTAAGGTGTCGTTGTTTCTAGACTACGATAGATGACCCATATGATAGTCTACAGCAGACCAATCATCTACTTAGCAGGAATAAAAACAATAAAATTAGCATAGAAAACTAATACAAGGTCTAATCGTGTAAAACACTTTGTTTTTTGAAAGACCTATGCTCCCAAGACAAGTAACGGGAGAAAAACTTCAATATGGTTTGACGTACGAACATGTGTTGTGTTGTTTACAATGACTTGGAAAATCAATGGAATTAACTTGTGAAAATATTTGTTCGATAATTTTTCACATCTTTCGACGTGGATTATGACGGCATGAGTGCATCTGTGAACTCAAATGTGTGTATGGCGATTAAGAACTATCCTATATCGCTGTACAAAATTGGTTTTATAATTTTAGTCGTTGTGGTCCAAAAAACGTCGAAGATGAAGAAAATTTAACGAATATTTTTCTTGAACGGAGCATTGACAAGCAAATGGTAGCCTGTTTATTTGGCAAAACTAGTCATGTGACGATTGTTCCGTCATGTTCCGAAGTCGCCAAAGAAACATATTCGTATACAAAATATCGTGGCAGTATTCGAAAAGCATGGCTTGGAGATGAAAACTTGTATAAATAGGGTTGGAAATACTTTGAGAAGCAAAACAACATATAGTAGCCATTTCGCGGAAAGGTACCAGGATGAGCGCTCCGATTGGACTCCAAATTGGCGAAGACATTTATATCAACTGTGATTATTTTTGATTTTTGTCAATCAAAAATGAACACAATAAGAAAAGAGGTTCGTCACCTTCTCAAACTGAGCTCATGGGAATGTCAAGATTGAATCTATATATTTGGTACCAGAAGGTTCTGGTAGAAGAACTATATGTAATATGTTCCATTTCGAACTTGATGTCCCACAATTTGGCATACACCGTCGCTTTTTTAGCAGAAATCAAATACTCCCTCCTAGCTCAATTTTGTTTTGGTGTTTTTCGTACCCCACACCACTATGTTGTCAGGGTATTACAGCTTTGTGCAGTCCCAAGAGTTTGTAACGCCGTGAAATATTGGCCCTAGAGACACCTTCAAATATACCGTTCGTCATATCTCGACTAAATGAGTCGATCTAGACATGTGTGTCCGTCCGTCTGTCCATTATAATTTGTAAACACGATACAGGCCACAGCTATGAACCAATCTTCCCGGAATTTATATTTTAACGTGGGTTTTGACCAATGAAGACCCCTATTGTTTATGGGACAGATCGGTTAATATTTAGGGGATAAAATGGACCAAATATGGGAATGGGCCGCATATAGCATATATTGATCTATAGGTCACAATTATAAGCCGAACATCACAACACAACCCACGGTGAAGGAAATCTGTACAAGTAATTAGAAGGGATGCACTGAATATTAGTAATATTCGGAAAATATTTCAGTGTAAAGAAGAGGTGTTCTTGACCTCTACTCGAATGCAAATATCACCAAATATTGCCCAGGTCGTGAAAAAACATCCCCAGAAAGCAAGGCATCCATGGTAGGTGGGTAGGGTCGGTCCGGTCCGGTCCGACTATACTGCTCCCCTCACTTTTTTTGCAGGGTTCCATACTTCATGAAAACTGGATTTTCTCTCTGTATACCCCTCACCACACTGTGGTCCAGGTTATTATGTTTTTGTGCATATGTTTGTAACAGGCAAAAGGAAACGAAATAGACACAGGGTTCCTTTCTGAGTCCATTTGAGCGTGTCCGTCCGTGTTAAATTGTAAACAAAGTACAGGTCGCATTTATGATCTGAATCGGATGAAATTTGGCACAAGGACGAGCCCTATTGAAAACGAGAAAAATCGGTTCTGATTTACATAAAGCTCTCATATACAGTTCCGTCCGTTTTTAACAAATGGTGCACCAAATACCCAAAGTCCTATTTTAAGTAAATGGTGCACCAAACTCCTCATGATTGATAGATTGACACTACGTTTTCCAAAACGTACAAAATTGGGCGTAGAATAACGTAATTGCGTTTTGTAGCAATACATACATAGCCCATATATATTATATTTTCGACCGACTTCATGTTAATTAGGCACCAAATTGTCCGATTAAGATTTGCTTTAAATCGATTTACATAATTTTGTCCCATTGCAAACAAATGACGTTATACATGTTCAAATGAAAAATTTTGTTTAGGTTGCAGAATGACAAGAAAATGAACTGGAGAGACTGGCTCTCAATGTTGGGCTTGAGATCAACATCAAGAAAACAAGGTCAATGTTAATAAAAACACCAGTACAAAAGAATTAAAAGCCAAACAAATGAAAACGTCGATAGCTATTGCGGTGCAGAAATGGGCACAATGAATATATAAAACAAAACGAGAGCAGTATTCGGACGAATGCAAGGTGTGTCGAGAGATCTATAAATCGGTTCTACTATTCTGCACCCAAAACCTGCAGGTATTCCCAAACAAATACCTAAGGATAATATAAAGTATATTCTGACCCAACACTATAAGTAATAAATAATGAAATGATAATAAATGAGAGCTATATCTAGATTTGAAGGGGTACAATTGGGTTCTAGAGGCCAAAATTAATTAGTTCTCCCAAATGTTATCTAAATTACTTAAAAATGTAAACAAGCTGATGTTGAGTATCGTGGCTTTATTTAATTACATGGGAACGTGGATTTATGTGTTTCACTGTACCTGTAAAGACTTAATAAAGTACTGTTAATTTTTTAATATTAGTTACAAAATTATGTATTTCTAAAAATTTTTTAAATGAAATTTACTTTGTGGATGTGCTAATTTACTATTTTTAACCCTTCTTATTAATAAATAAAAACTGAAATATCCGGAAATGTTTTATATACAATGTATGTATTTGTGGAATATTATCGTTAAAATCTTATAAAAAATGTTTCAAATTGTTGTTAAGGTATAACTGAAAAAAATATATATTTAATTTTTTAGTTAGATACCGAAAAGCTAAAAATACAAATAGCTACAGAAATAGGTATTTAGATAATGCTAAAAAAGATTCATCATAATTTATCAGAAAAACATATAGTTTTTTTTTTTTAATTTTCAAAACACAAAATAGCTCTCGTTAGTTTATTATATACATTTTTAAATATAATTTAAAAATATATTATTATTTCTATTGTTTTAAATTAGTCACACAAAAATACAGTTGTTTCAAAATAAAGGGAGTCAAATATTTGTTATATATATGTTTTTCAAAAAACCTTTTTTATAAAGCTATCATATATTTTTAGTCATATTTTTATACCCTGAAACATTAAAAATATTCCCGATCTTTTTTTTCGAATTTGAAACAACTGTACCAAAACAATATGCAATTTTAGTTATATCTGCTTGGGTCTCTATTACGCGGAATGTGTGGAATATATATATTTTGTTTGATTTCTTAATTTGTTGAACGTTTCTGTTATTGTTTTCTTATGATTTTCTTGTTTGATTTGTCGTTTTGCTTTGAATGTAGCTTTTCATTAAAACAAAACAATTTTTGTTTAATTTTCTTTCATTAATAATTCTTTTTCAATATTAACCACCAACAAATTCATATATATTTACAAAAAAAATTATAATTTTTAGTTTTAGATGCTAGTTAAATTAATAGTAATATCTATTATCATAAATTAAATATATACATATCTACAATATATATTTCTTTTTTTGGTTTCTCTTTTCATTTTCTTTACCTACAAAACAAACAAAAATTTTGATAAATTGTTGAAACTATTGCTAACAAATGTTGCAAAACCATTATAAACAAAACAAACTGAAAATCTGAAAACCAATCCGCTTTATAACTGAGCAGATTCATGACACAATTCCCACAATTAGGGCCCGAAGTAGATCTAAGAACTCTTAGGGCCATACGTGTGCTAAGGCCCCTAAAATTAGTCTCTGGAATTCCTAGTGAGTAGTTAATTAGTATTTAATTATATTTGAAATCTTTAAACCAAATTGAAATAAATAATAATGTAGAAACAACATAAATGTATAATATTTTTAAGTTGTAGTAATTTTCATTTAAAAAAAATCGTAGTAATTTTTTTGCTAAAAAATAAAAAAAAAATATTTTATTTGCTAGTGAAAAAAATATATAGAAAAATAAATAGCTAATGTTTTAGTGATACATATTTTTATTATAATAAAAAAAATAAATTAAAATCTCTTTCCAAGATCAAATACTAATCTATTATTTTCTCTTTTCCCCCCTTCACCCTAATACCTTTCTCTCTTTCTCTACAAACAACTTTCTTATATATTTACAGGTTTACAAGTAGTTTTAAAGTCCATAATAAAAGCAATGGCACCGTTGCTGCAAATCGGTCTCTTGGTGTTGTTTGCGATCGTTATATTTGCCATCATTGGACTCGAGTTCTATTCGGGTGCTTTACATAAGACTTGTTATAGTTTAGAAGATCCAAGTATTTATCGTCCAACAACAAAAATAAAAAAAAAATAACTACAAAAAAACTGAACTAAGAAACAAGGCAAATCTGTTTTGCCCTGTTTCAGAAAAAAAATGAAAACAATATTGTGAAACACTTCCGGTGTGATCGAAACAAAACCACAAAAATATCTCACAAGTGTTCATTTCTTTTTTCCAGATAAGCCTGTAAAAGAGGGTGAATCAGAAACACCGTGTAATACGGATAACGCCACAGATAAATCAGGTGGTTCATATGTATGTAATTATACGACGAGTATGTGTTTGGAAAAATGGGATGGACCAAATTCTGGCATAACTAGTTTTGACAATATCGGTTTTGCCATGTTGACTGTATTCCAATGTATCACTATGGAAGGCTGGACAGCAATACTGTATTGGGTAAATGACTTTTAAAATTCAAATCAAAAAAATAACAAAAACAAAAAACCAAAGTCCTCAAGTATTTCTCTATCTCTCTGTTTCCACTACTAATGTGTAAATCTATCTTTGCTATTTTGCTCTGTGTACTATAAAATATCCCTTCTATGCTAGTTTTGGTTTATTATGACCAAAAATATATATATAAATATAATCAACTCAAAACTTCTTGCTAAGATTCAACTCATTTTTTTTTTAATTCATTCAAATATTAAGATTGGTGTAACAATAATTTTATATGGCTATTTTTTATAAAATACGATTAAGTATGCTGGGGTTTATATAAATAATCGATTACAGTATTATTATAGCTGAAAAGTAGTTGGTAGTTGCAAGAATTATTCTATTTTTAATTTTTTTATTTTTATTCAAAAATATTTTTTTTATTTTTAGTTTTATTTTTTTATTTTAAGTTATTGTATATTTATATATACAATTAAATAAAAAAATATATAATTACAAATTATTTACTTCAAAAAAAAAGATCCACCCTGGGATCAAAATATCTCCTCTAAGAAGAGATAACAATTTACAACATACTACGAGGGCTGCTACATGTATTTTTGGCCTAATAATAAGATATAATAACGTCATTCGGTTTCTAAAACACCTTAAATCAATCAGGACTATTATGTGATCCTGATAAATTGCTATCAGAAGAAAAACGAAATTCAAAATTACAGACGTGATGAGTAACCTCTAAATATGAATATAATGAAACATGGACTTATGTTCTGTAAAGCATTGTTTACAGCCACTTCGTATTGTTAAAAATAGCCACTTCGGTTGGAAAATGCGCCTAGGGCCTAGAATTAAATTACAGGGGACTGGATCATTATATGGGATTTATAACAAAAGATTGACCGGATGTTATAAGTTTTGGTTGAAAGATTTACGATACAATGAGAACTACACATTTCAGGTTAGAACCATGTCGTTTAAAAACCCGTGCCTGTAATACTAACAATACCGTAAATCAGGGCTAACGTTGTATGAGGTCTATATGGACCTATTTTGATAATTTTTGTATGAAAAATTGAAAAAAGTGCCAAAACAACATGTCATTGATACCGCGCCGATACTCCCCTAAATTAGAGTTACCATAAAAAGCAGATCAATATTTATAATTGGGGAGAAAAATGTGCCAAAAATTCCCAAAAAATTAGGTTGGTGAAAAAGAAATCCATTATTTTTATTTCAACTAAAGGACTTTATTTAACTCTTTGAGCCCCGAATTATTTCTGTGATCATGGAACGATTTTCTGTGTACAGATTTAATGCAACTGTCCTAAATGGGATATGAACAAAATTTGACGTCGCTACATCTTCCCAACCAAGCTCCCGAAATTTCTGGCAAGTCACTGTAGATGTGTGTGGCCGTTTCTGGTCAATTGCTATCTTCAAACGGTCCAGTTGTTGACAGTAGAGAACTTATATAGCATAGCAGAACCTTACTGGCCGTTGGTACTGGTTTGGCGAGTTACTGTAGATGTCTGTGGCCTAGCGTTGTCCTGGTGAAACACAACACATCTCATGTTGGCCAATTCTGGCCGTCCAGTTGTTGACAGTAGAGAACTCATATAGCATAGCAGAACCTTACTGGTCGTTAGTACTGGTTTGGCCACCGTTTGAGATGCTTCACCGCTCTTTGACCACGATCGTTGTCGCACAGGGTTATCGTATGTGATCCATTTCTCATCTCCAATCATCATCAGTTTAATAAATGGGTTTATCTCATTCCGTTTGGCCAAGGTTTCGTACATGGAAATCCATCTTATTTTTTCTGTTAATTGGTGTGGCACACAAAATCATCATTCTCCCATTTTATCGATGACCGGCTTAATGGATTTCTTTTTCCCCAACCTAAAACATGTAAAGCATGTTTCCGGAAATTCCTAATTCCGTTCTTTCTCCGATTTATTTTTACCATTTTTATGTAAATTATATATTATATTATTTTATAAGGATAATTTCTTGTTCAAACTCCAAATGCTTTTCAGCAAAACTGCAACGTTTTCGTGGTATCGAATGTAAAATATGCAATAACTATCGTAAGAAAGGAAAATAAGAAATAAACCCCCATATCTCTCTGTAATTATAACCCTACAACCTTTTTCAATCAGAACGAGTCTGCTACGATTTCTCTTTTCGAACAATGAATTTATTTGCGAAATTGTTTATATTGTGGTAAAATCGACAAACATCAATAACAAAAGAAAGCTCAATTCAAATTTTAACGAATTTCAAATAAATAAATAAACGGATTTTTTCCTTGCCATACTAACTGAGAATATTTTTGTACGTATGATCTAATTAACGCCTGTTTAACATGTGTGCCGTCAAATCAAATTTTTTGAACGCGATGATCATTAAGTACATTGTTATGATAACGGTAATAAATATCTTAGTAAGCTGAATAACGGAAGAAGAATCCTCCATCTTAATAATATGAAATAGAGTAATGTATTTATTTTCTTCATGAGTGTGTAATAATTTACCTAATACAGAATTGCCTATCGTTGATCGGTAGCGCTCTATATATTTTAAAGTTAAAAAACATAAACTTCAGATTATTTATGAAATTCACTTGATTTTTAATACAAGTGAATACTTATTACAAGTTCTCTTTGATGCATTTTCTAGGGCATAAAATGAATTTCAAAAACAAAAGAAATTTAAATTACGAACTGTGATATTCAGTCATTGTTATTGGTGTAAATTGGTTCAACAATCGGGTTTCAATTCGCAATTTTATTTTGAGTTAAGAGATGAGAATAAAACTTATTCAATCTATTTAGAACTTTAAGCATATAGGAAAATAATAAATTTCTCCAATGTGTGTGTTTTTTTTACATCTGGGTAGCAAAAGAATCTAATTATGGCCACTTCAATGTGAAAATACGGCTAGGACATTTGAAGTGCCAAAATCGGATTGTGATTGTGTATACGAAAAACATGGGCCTATTAAAAAATCTTCAGTTTAAGTTTTAACTTTGAGACCGGAAATCTAAATTCGGACGGTATTTTTATCTATACTAATAAAACAGTAAAGTAATTAATTGACTGACTTACCGATTCATCAACGCCCAGACGAAACGGCTTCAGCAAGAATATTGAAATTTTGGGTGAGGGTCACTCTTAGTCCAACGTTTTCAGATAAGACTGGGTTGTTGGAAATTCTTACTAAAACGGCACGAAAAGTACTAAATATGGTACTATTTGTATTTTTGCGAACCTATGGAGCTAGAACTCTGAAACTTGGATTGTGAATCAAGGTTCATATTAGAAGGTGGATTTGGAAGTTTAGTCATGTATACGAAAAGTACTAAACGGTACTATATTTGGTGTAGTTTGGATTTTGATGAACCGATAGGGCTGAAACTGAAATTTGGAGTTAGGATCACTCTAAGGGTGTAGAATTGGGGTGCCTAGGAAGTTTTGGAAATTTATTCTAATGTATACTAAATTGCACTACAATTTGGATTTAGGTGAACCGATAGAGACAAAATCTTTAAATTTAGAATTAAGATTGGGATATGATGGAAGTTTTTGAAAATTTGTACATATGATTGTTAAGGCCTGGATATGAATATTGAAGCTAGGTCGTATTAACACTAGAACGCCGAAGGCGGTCATTTTGACCGCTTTCCAATTTCAAGTACAAAAGCAACTGTGCATTTAATGACACTTTTATTTTAAATTTGGTGTTTTTTTTTATAATAAACGTAATTCTATGAGATACAAAAAGTCACCAAATTTTTTAAAAAAAAGTGTCATTAAATGTACAGTTGCTTTTTTTGGAAAGCGGTCAAAATGACTGCCTTCGGCGTTCTAGTGTTAAACTTATATAAATTTGACTTCACGGTTTGAAAATTCGGTGGGAGCCTTAAAATAACTTAAATCGAAAGCTTCAAGAAATTAGGATGTATTGTTAAATATTGCTCACAAACGTTCCATTTTCAACACCATTTTCAAGGATAATTTCGAGTTACTTCCTAAAGAATTTTATTTTTTTTTTATCGATTTCTGAAAATTATAACCAACAAAGAACTTCGGCAAATTAGGATTCTGTCATTAAAAACCCCTGATATATTTCTGGTAGAAACATTTTACACACGAAAATATTAAATTAAATCCAATTTGATTAAAAAAAGTGTCCAAAATCTCCAAAATACCTAAGAAAATGGAGTACCTGTATATATAGCCTACTCCGAAACTTAAGTCAATACATTCAATACATTACATTCAATTTGGTCGGAAAAGGTGTTAAAATTTCACAAAATAACGAAATTTGGTTGGTACCGTTATATGGGGGCTACCCTAAAAAGTAGTAGTTGATCATTTTGATACCGAAAAATAAAGCAAAATCGGCTAAGGAATATACCAAACGTACCTAAATTTGCATCAATATCCAAAAATTGGATAAATATGAAATATATCTGGTAGAAATATTTATTGCCCAATTCAGTTGAAGACGTGCACAAAGTGGCACCGTTATAAGGGGCCATATTAAAATTTGATCCTATATATACATATATATCTATTACATTATACGAAATTCAAAATACCAAACATCCTAGGTGTAGACATCCTAAACTGAACAGACATTATGTTGTAACCCATCATGTCTGTTGAAATCTGGTAATTCGCAACAGGTCAAAGTTTTGAGATATAGGGGATTTGCTCCTTTTAGATAAATTCGTTGCCATACTATAAGAATAGAGTACATTTTCGGTAGAATCCTTAACACTAAGATTTCGATATTTGAATGTTTAATTATTTGTATAACTTCCGTCCAATTCTTTGTATTAATAAATTAGTTAATAAATTTGTATTAATAAATTCCATACAAATTGAAATTGTGAAGTTCTGCAGAATTAGCCTGAAGCATTTACCAGAAGCTTATTTAGTTATGCCGATCATGCAATTGACATTTCTCCTCGGATTTTTTTAAACTGGATTTAATTAATAAAAGCACTTAAAGTCAGTCAGACAAGGTTGACTCTTAAACAAATAGTGTGGTCTTTAGATTATTAAAGCAGTTTATTTTTTTTAAGAAAATATATCTCAAATTAAAAACAATATCAAATTTCCAGCAATTCATTTTTGTTTGTAAAATGCATCACCGACAGGACTTTATCAAGTAAATTTAAATACCAAATACTATATGTAGTAGATTGTTAACATATATACATTGTTTTGAGTTATAATTTTTTATTAGAGATTGATATCATTCTGAAATTGGTAAATTATTGGACAAAAAACAACAAAATCAAAACTAACAACAAAGGAAAATTCTCATAATTTTCGTTCTCCAAAAAAGAAACCACTCAGCGCACACACTAATAATAAAAATTAAAAAAAAAATTGCTTTAAAAAATTAAAAACAAAATATATATTTTTTTTGTTTGCGAATTTGATATAATTGAGCAAAAGTAATTGAAATTGAATAATAATAATTAATATGTTTACCACAATTATTCACATTTCATTTTCCTTAATCCTTCTTTATTCTAATTCTAATTGTCATTCAAATTCTCTATTATTAATTTCACGTACATATTGCCAAATTGTTTTGAGTTATTGCTTTTTACACACATGCATACGTAAAATAGTATGTCATCTGATGCCATCTGAATTGAATTGGGTTTTCATGCGAAACGAAAAAAATCAAATTCATATCATTGTATTGAAATAGCATATAAATAACATTGTAATTATTTAGAATTAAGAAAAATAAACTAAAGTAATATTTATTTTATTTATTAATTTAAAAAAATGTAATATATATAATTTAGATATACATATATGGAGTTATATGGCAATTTGTTATGAAAGGTTGGTCCCCTCTCACTTTAGAGAGAGAGAGATCTAGCCAATTTTTAGCCAAAAGTACATTTTTGCTTATAACTTTGGTTTGAATTGGCCGATGATTACCAAAATTACAGAGAATGTAAATTAAGGACCGTAGTATCTAATAACGTAAAGAACTTTAAAACATGCTAAGTCGACTTAGCATACTACGGTTCGGAGGCGTCGATATTATCTCTGTTATTGTCATATGACTCGTTTGTCCATTAAGCTTGTGACTCAACCGAGATTCAAAACTCAATATGTAACAAATCTCAAATTTTTCAAAAATAATTATTTTTTTACTAACATTTTTCTCATTTTTTCTCTCTTAATTCCCATTGTGTGTCACATGAAACATTTCTTTACAGACCAACGATGCTTTAGGTTCACAATTTAATTGGATATACTTCGTGCCTCTTATAGTTATAGGCTCATTTTTTATGCTCAACTTAGTTCTTGGTGTTCTTAGCGGGTAAGTCGGCACAAAAACTTATAAATGTTAATTTGAATTCTTCCTATATATTATTATATAAATTATTTATATTATTTAATATCTTAATTCTGTTCTGTTATTATTAAATTTATTTTCTATCAATATTTTTAATGTCTTATTTTAAATTATAAATTCTATTTTATTATTTCCGCCAAAAAAGAAAAATTAATACTTTTTTATATTATTGAATTTCTTTTATATTGCAAATTTATTTTCAAGTGAATTTTCCAATGAACGTAATCGCGTCGAACGTCGCATGGAATTTCAGAAATGTCGTTTTAAAACCATGTTTCAAACGGCCATGGTCTCATACCTTGATTGGATAACAGAAGCAGGTTTATATACAAAAAAACAATATTTCTATGCAAAATTAAGCAGAACCAAAAACAAAAATAATTATGAAAAAATATACAGATACCAAAAAAATACCCATACGCTATACAAATTATTCGGTTGATTAGTTATCAAAGCTACAACAGTTACCAAAATTAAAGCTAATGTCCCTCCAAGCAGTTTCCATCTACCCCTCCGCCCCCTTATACTCAAGCAACTGCAACAATGACAGCAAGATACATGTGTCTCTTTAGAAAAAAATATTCAATCAACCAAGCAAACAACAACAAAAACTCTTTCTCTATAAATAAAACAGAATGTTATTTAAGACCCCCAAACCCAATTCCGCCACCATCCACAAAAAACAGATACTGTTCCTGCCCCCCAATCCAAAAATAGATAGTCTCAATCCCTTGTCTTTGGAACATAACAGAAAATATTACACCTGGCACACACACACTCACAAATATTTTTGTTTGTTGGTATTTTGTATACGAAATCGGAGGTGGGTAATATTAGAAAAAGATACTGTGTCACAGGAAGCTGGGTTCTAAATTAAGAAGTAGGGAAATGCTATAGGCCATCCTTAATATAAACCAAGGGTAGCCTTTGCGGAAATCTCAACAATACAAGAGCTAATAATCATGGATGTTATGCCGGACGATACTGTAGGAGATATATTGCTAAAACTGTATTCAATTCCAAAACAGTAAAAACTAGAGAAAACGTTCTGCGAATCTATATTCCGAACCTGGGTGATTCCTCGTGATACCCTTAAATAAATTTTATAATTATAACCTACACAACTATGTTGTAAGGGTGTTATAGATTTAGTCGATCTAGCCATGTGTGTCTGTCCGTACATTATAATTTGGCCATACACAAACACAGGCCACAGTTATTTAACAATCGTCACGAGATTTCGCTTGTAGGACGGGTTCTGAATAAATAAGACTCCTATTAAGGATCCGTTAATATTTGGGTGATGAAAAGGAGCATATGATCCGAATATCACGAAATTTTACAAGGGGAAGGGATTTAGCCAGTGAATAAACATGACCCTTTTCAAGGCAATCGGTCAATATTTAACAGGTTAGATGTACCCATACTATTGTGTGAAAAATTACAATTTTTTTATTTTATTGCATATATATTTACTCATGAAGGACATAGACCCGACAAGTTGATAGTATATCCAAGAGGAGTGGTTGACCTTTAAATTGTTGCCAATTATTTTGTTGTACGTACTCGGATGTGGTATGTACCAAAATACTTAGGTAGATCCCTACCTATTTTGATATTGTTTAGTATTACCATTACCACAATAGAAGCAGGAAATGTAGCGCTGATGTCTAGGCAAGTATACATGAGGTTCCGGTTATAATCGAGGCAAATACTATATTTTCGATGATATTTTGGGGGTGGACTGACCAAAAATCTTATTTTTGTCTGGTTTTCTAGTCATCCAAGACCCCATAATTTTAAGCCGACCTGATTCGGAAAAGCTACCGCAGAGGAGCTATAGGCCTCTTAGCGGTCATGAGGCTCGGAATATAGATCCTCACTTGTTTACAACGATGTTGGAAAGCGTGTCCACAATCCCTTATATTTGATGTTACCAAAATATATTTTATAAACTGTCCTGGAATATGTAATATGATAGCTAACGGAATGAGTAATGTAATATACTCTCCATCTTTAAGTTATACCCTAAACGGTGGAGCAGTGGATTTTATAAAATTGTGCACATCCAGTCCATACTGACCTGAAAACGAAGTATTTTGACTCTTGCAGAATAATTCAAATAAGACGTTCATATTTGTATATACAGATAAACATATCGTATACCTTTATAAAAACCACAATACATCCTATATTTCGTCTATGATTGCCAATATGTCCTTCACACCCTCTTTCATATTTAATATTCATATTTACAAGTCCCCCCTTCATTAGATATCCGATTTAAAAAAGCTAAACTCCTCAAACAACCAACAAAACCCTTTCTAACTTTGTTTCGTGTGTGTGTGTGTACTCATGTGTAATACATATGTATTCCACTCACATAGTATGTTAGTGTGTATGCTCTTTAATTTAATGTTTAGTTTATAGTGTGTTGTTATACCAGCTGCAAAATACGTTTGTCTGATGAAATTAATACGTATGTAATAATATTTTTTTATAAATTATTGTCTGTACTTGAGCGAAATGCGATTTTGATTGATGAATGGTAAATTACAATGACAATGATGATGATGATGTTGTTAATACGTTTTGTGATGGCGTTACTGATCTGTTTCAATGATTGCAAATTTCCAGAAAAAATATGTCCAGTAGAAAAAAGTACAAAAATACAAAACAAATCATGCAATGGAAAATAATCGTATCTATGTGTAAATGAAAATCACAGTAATTGCACAACATTATTATGTTTAAATATTAAAACAAACCCAAAAAAACAACAACTACTATAACTCCTTTTGTGTAATGATGCACTCACTGTTCAAAAACTAAGTATCAAGTTATTATTAAATATATTAACCCACACGGTTAGGATGAGACCCCTTCGTAACATTTGCCAAAACATTTCATAAATTGTCATCAAAAAACATAAAACATTAATCAATACAACACTTGTTTTATAAATAAATATTTACATTGAAACATTAATAATAATAATAATCTTCGAATTTAATTTGGGCTCTCCCTAAGACATAATTCATTTTCGTCTGAGAATATATTTAAATATACATGAAATGGTTCTGGAACTTCATATGATTATTACATATGGATCACTTGATTGGAAATTGCGGTTGGACCTTCAAAAAGCCCAAAACGAATCGGGAATATATATATATATATGGAGGATATATTCGAAAACTTGGTCTATATTATTCACCTGTCAGCAGATATTTTTGGAATCGAAATTAAATTATGCATTGACAAATTGATTCAGGTTGTCTTTTATGTTTATCTGAACTTCCACATAACAGCCATATAGATTAGACACTACTATTAGGACGTTAAAGATTTTAAAAATAAAATTCTGGCATAATGGACATATTTATCTTCATAAATAATATATTTATCTTCAGCATTATGGCTAATGAGAGTATATAACCTCTGATACCAAATCCGTTTCAAACAATATGGAGGTCGATTTATAAATGTCGGTCTGTCTGTAGCGATTACTCTCGAATGGAATAACCGTTTTCGTCCAAACTTTACACATCTTAATATTTCTTCCAAACTTAGTTTAAGTTCGAAGATGGGGAATATCGATCCATTCCTTCCGGTACCTCCCACAAAAAATGGTCAACATTTTGCTAAGAATTAATTTTTTATTATTATGCGATAGACTATTGGGTTTGAACCAAACTTCTCACAACCTGATAGTTTGCAGAAGCCTATATACTGTTGGAAGGTGTGAAATACTGTAGAACTTTTTCCAGTATGATTAGAAAGGATTAAACCATGATTTTTGAACGCATCAACAGCATCTGCTGTTGACGAAAATAGTTGAATTTTCCATCAATATTTCGAATTTCTCCAACGATTTCAGGCAAATTGTAATATACCTCTCAGAAATTGTGGAAGTCATTCATCCACAAACATTTTCATAGGATTTGGCTCGTCTTCGAAGACCAACACGATCGATGATTATTTTTTTTTCGAACTCATTTTATGATACGTCCATAGTGATGGTCTTCTCAACGAGCTCTTTGTGCGATATTCACACTAATGAATACTGCCTGGTATTCATCTAATAACGAGAATATGCCCAAGGATGCTTTTATTTTGTGATATATCACATGACGAACTTCCATAAACATAGCATGTACGAAATCAGCATTCTGTGGCACAATGGCAATTTTAGAAAGACCTATGTCTTTGAACATTTCCGCCACGTTTGGAATTTTGAAACCAGTTTGTCACTATGCTATAGAATGACGTTTTATTGATGCAATTTTGTCGTGATAGTACACATGGAATATTGTGAAAAATTATCACACAAAAATGTTCCCGAGGTAATGTGATTTTTCAAGCCACGTAGGTAAACGTACCAGGAACGCTAAACATTTCAAACTTTTCAATGGACTTAGTGTTGCATTCTATAACATACCTCGTGGATAAAGAAGAGAGGAAACTTTATTTGTGTTCAAATACCCTGAAATCAGAATTATACCCGTTCAAATGGTGAATATAATCTCCAAAGTTCCAAAATCACATCCTCAAGGTTTTATTATTTTTTTTTTTATCTGCTGAAGTTTTTTTTAACTGGCTGACTCCGCAAAAATATTAATAAATACTGCGCCACATTCGACTGTACTCCCTTTGAGAATTGAAAATATAATCGACATGATCCAATAATATATAAACACAGCATTGAATTCTACTGGGTCACACATTACGAGGGCCGCGGGCCATTTCAAATATTAAATTTTGGGTTTCTATTTAATTCAAAGCCGATTTCTAGTGCCTGCATCAAGTGAGGGCAGAAGTGCTTATCATACTTTAAGAACATTTTTCTCGAAACAGTATTTCTACAAATGGCGGGAACGCCATATTCTGCACGTATATAGCTCGGCCAAGATCTTCTTTATTTTTTCGATTTGTGGTCGAAAATACGGAATTTTGTTAATTTTTGTTCGATGTTAATACTTCAAGTTCAGACCGGTGCCAGATATTTACTCTCTCGAATACCGTTGGAATTTTGGAATCGGACGTTCCAGTGATCAGAAAAGAAGGCCAACTATAAAACAACATACAAAATTATGTCAACTAATTTTCTAATACTTTAATTCTTAAAGTCTTTTTTTATAAAGCTTCCAGTGCTTAATGTAATGCATGTCCATTTGCCGATTGAAAATCGTAAAAAGTTGAAATCGGAATAGAGGGAAGCTGTGCCAACGTGTACCCATTGCAAATATTTCTAAAACATTGAAAATATCGAAAATAGGTTATGTTTCCAGAATTTGGATCAATATATTTTATTTTCATATATATTTTATTTCTACATATTGTCCGATTCCAACAGGCAGTTAAACATTCATTCGTGTGTTCGATTTATCCAATCTTCGTTTTTTAAATTATGTGGCAATTTAAAATTTGAATAATGACCAGGATACAAGCAGTATTTCTATTATATATTCACAGATTTATACATCTTTTGAGGTGGATAATACGATTGCAACACATAGATATTAGTAACCAAAAATCGATAAAAGTCGGACCTTAAGATCATATTTATTCAAATATAATTATATGGGGTGGGTATTCTTAAAGGGTGATTCGATGTTCCAATGGGAACAACTATTGAGAAACAATTCTATTTAATAAACAATTTTAAGCAGGGTTATCATTCTAAATATATTTGTAGAGAAAAGCTCGTCCTTGCATAAAGACCCTAAATAGCTAGAATCAATGTTTGAACCCCCCTTGTCCAATCTAGGATCTTATTTCCTTTTGAGAATATTGTGATATTTCGGAAATCATTTATAAAATTCATGCTTTACACCAATCAACTTGAATCATAATGCAGAAATCATAGATCTCTTCTACATAATGCTGTCATTTATTTTATATATTCATTATTTTTATTTTTAATTTCATATATATTATTTTTCTTATGTTACAAAAATGTATTTATAAACATTTTCATTAGCATACAATTCATACATCCTTTTGCTTATTTTTATTATTTTCTATTTATTTTATTTATTGCCTTTTCGTTTTATTTTCATTTGTAATATATAAAAAATACAAAAACAACATCAATTAATCAATCAACCAACCAAAAATATTTCATTTTGTAGTGAATTCGCAAAAGAACGTGAAAAAGTAGAAAATAGACAAGAGTTTCTTAAACTTAGAAGACAACAGCAACTAGAAAGAGAATTAAACGGCTATGTTCAGTGGATATGTAGAGCTGGTATAGTATTTTGTTAATTAAAAAATAAGAAACACACACACACTACTACACAACTAAAAACACATTTACTAACACTGACAGCAATACAAAAACAAACATATTTAACATTTACTAAAAAACATCACTCACACACACACAAATACACCAATACATTTCTTATATACACATACATTTTTATGTATAACAACACTTTTTGTAAAATGTCTAAAATAAAAAAAAAATCTTTTATTTATTTAATATTTTATTTGAGTTATGAATATTGAACTAATCTATTTCATTGGGTGTATTAATTTTGTAATTCACAGAGGAAGTGATATTAGCCGAAGAGCGTACAACAGAAGAGGAGAGAATGCACATAATGGAGGGTATATATTGCCAAACAATTAAAAATACATCTCTGGAGGAACACTCATAATAAATATTGTCCTTTTTTTCTTCAACATTTTAGCACGAAGACGAAATGCTGCCAAAAGAAAAAAACTGAAAAGTCTGGGCAAATCGAAATCAACCGATACTGAAGAAGAGGAGGGTGAAGAAGATTATGGTGATGATGGTATGTTAATTATGAAATGTTTTTTTGTTTTATTATTTTCTATCTATCAAACAAAAAACCGAATACACTTTGTCTGACACACACACACAAAAACCTTGTACTAAATGTTCAACAACAACAAATCTATTACCAAAAAAACAAAAAAAAAAATAATGCAAAAATTCAAAAGAAACCACTACACTTTAATAATAAAATAAATTGCAAATAAAATATGGAATGTTTTCAAATTATAAAAGAACAAAAAATAACAAAATTTGAAAAAAAACACACACACACAAATTTTCAACAACGTTTTCGTAGCACCCTGTTACACCAGAATAATTTACACGGTGACCCACACAAACAATCAAATTTACTAACAATGTTAATATTCAATACAAACTGAAAAGTTCAATACACTCAAAAATTTGTATTATTCAATTTATTTAGGATTTGTTTTGAAAAGTGTATTTTGTACCAAATATTGTTAAATGGAAAAATTGTGTACACTTGTTATATACATACAGTTTTTTACAGTAAATTAGGTATTTTTCAACACTTTGTCAATATTAAAGATATGTTTTGTATAGTAAATTTTTGTATGTTTATTTCTGTTCTTTCAATTTTCTTTCATTATTTCGTTTTGTATTACTTTTATATTATTTCTATTGTGTATGCCAAAACCAAAACCAAAAAAATACAACTATCTCCAAACTAACTAACCAGAGGGTGGCGAAAAAGCCGAAGGTAATTTCATTTGATTTTTCTTCGATTTGTTTCTGTTTTAGTTTGTCGAATTTTTTGCTATAGTATTTTTTTAGATTTTGTTAAATTTACCTTTTTAATAAAGTTAATATTTTTTTTTTTGGTTTATGTTCGCTAAATATTTTTTCTCTTGTATAACTTTGAAAATAAGTTTTAACTCCAAAGGAAATCAATTGACTTAAAAGCGACCTAATGATTCCTATCAATATATTCTTTAGGGTTTAAACCCCAATCTTCACCTTCGAAATATTAAAAAATATACTATGTAGTAACATTTTCATGACGATCGAAATATGTTTAAGAGATTTATTATACCCAAAACAAAATTTTGTTTTAATTTTTCCACTTTTTAAAAAATATATTTCGCTATTTTTCCTTTATTTCTTAATTTTTTTTTTTTTTGCTTCTTAGTTTTCCTAATGACTGCTCTAGATCATTAAAATAACTCTGTGCAACACAAAAAATAATTATAGGGAAATTCCAGAAAATACTACGATAGATGAGCTAAAAATACAAGACAAAATAAGAAGACGTGTATCGGCATTTTGAAAGTTTACAACATGCGTTGCAATGTTTCTCATTTCCAAAATATTTGAAAATATTCTAATTAAGATTTCTCGAAATCTTTGCATTTTAGGTATATGATGTCTTTGACAGTATCACCGAAATGTGAATTTTTTGTCTAATACGTCAACTCTCAAACGGGATTATATAGGGTCAGAATGTTCAACAAAAATATTGCCCATAAAGTTTTACTATAAGGCTCAAAATAGACCAAAAAATAATAAAACTCTTTTTAAGGTTAAAACCGATCTTATTCCCAGTTTGTACAAATTTTTCCCACTAGATGTCGTTATTTAAAACATACATTTATACTACTTCTAGGATGTTTAATATTAAACATTGGATATATGGTACACTTTTCAGGGTAGTTGCCATATTATTTTGTTTAGCAAATCGTCCTACGAAAATATATTAACATTGGCCCAAATCCCCCCACATAACGTTATCTTTCCATTAATCGGCACGTTTTAAACTCCTACACAGAACATTTTCAGTAAAAGTCCATATTATGCTCAAGGTCATAGATAAATTTTCCATCCCCGGTGTCTGTAGTTTGGAATTACGGTTTCTCCTAGCAGTAATATACCTTGGCATATGAACATCAATTTAGGGTATTTTGAATTCGCACTGTAGTCTTGATCAATCTCGTTCAGTACAGTGATCGAACGAACTTGGTCATTTCTTTAAAATTGAACTAGGTCGTTCACCTCGTTCATTTGCCTTATATCTTTCAAATGGTCAATCGGTTCAATTGCTATTGCATTCAAGCTGTCAGTTCCATCAACCGCAAAGAATGACGAGCTTTCCCAATCATTAGAAGAACTTGACTATGCACTCCGTTATATTCGGCTGCACATTTGTTTGCACTACAGTTGTTGCTCCGGACATTTATGCCACTTCTTCCGGAGTTTCCAGCTCCCTTTTAACGTCTGTCCATGGGAGTCCATTTAAGCAAATGGGTGCTATCCTTTTAAATGTCACTTCAAATTATTTACTGTCGTCCTAGCAATGTTTAAAACGCTACTGTAGTAAATGCATTTGGTCTTTTGAACACCGCAATGGAATAGCAATGGACTAATTTTCCGAGTGTCTTTTCAATTTATCAGATTTTACATGAAGTTTATTTCTTTTTTGACGCCGTTCAGTAGATCAAAGCCCGAACACCCATGAACGACAATGAAGGTGTAGAATAAAATTCTATGTCGTTCAGTGGCCAACGTCGTTCAAATCAAAATAGTTTCATGAACGACAATAATAAACATTTAACTATGTCGTTCACTCGTTCAGTGGAGTGACTCCTTCAATTGCACTAGGTCGTTCACGAACGACACAAGACTACAGCATAGCATGGTTAGGTTATAAATAGTTCTCTTCGAAAAGAGGAATTTTTGGACGATTTTCGAATGTTAGGTATCCAAAAAGGATTGAACTTTTTATGGGTTTTTGTAATATTAAGTTATTATTAAGTATTAAATGTATGCTGGATATTTTCATCTCACGGTAACTCACATGACGATTTTGCGTTTTCAGTTGCCATACAAAGATTTATGTTCATTGATGCACTCTTGTCGCGAAATGTTCTCATAATAATACATTTTTTTGACAAATTGATTTCTAAAATCACAGTAAACAACACAACACATGGTCGTACGTCTAACTGTACTGCGTAAGTTTGTGCCAAAAAATGTCAAACCTTTCAATAGAAATTTCAGATGTCGCTAATAATGCTGGGCGTAAGAAGTAATATAAAATTAATTTCAAAAAGTAAATAATCATTTGGAGTTAAACTGTACTAAAATATTTATTTTCATTTTAATGTGATACTCTTATTAACTCTATAACAGTTACATTTTTATATAAACCCAGTAATGCTTGTTTCATTTTAAATGTATTTATTTTTTGTTAGTTTTTAATGGATCGTTTCAAAATATCGAACGGTCAAAATCGGTCTGTCTCACAATCTACACTAATCTTCTTTTAATAAGAATTGTTTTCGGTTTTCCTTTTTATATTTGAGTATATTTTATTGGAACATTAGTACTCAATTGCGTTCGATATTGTGAAACAGAACTTGTTATTCTATAACCAAAAGATCACTTTTATGTGTCAATAGATTAGGAACAAAAAAAATTGTATTACAAACGTTATTGTTTTATGGTTGTTGTTATACTTTTCTTTAATGTCTATATAGAGTTCCACTTTTAAATATACAATTTTCCTCAATTTTTTATTTGATTTCTTAATTCCATATGTATATTTAATTATTTCCTCTACGAGTTATTTTTTTGATTTGTTATATTGTTAATTTTTTTATATATAAATTCTTCTTCTATGTGTTGTTAAAAGTTATATAAAACGTTTTCTAACGTTTATTAATTTATTTATTTTTCTAAAAAAAATAGAAAACATAAACAAACTTAAATTAATACTCTATAATTTTATTTAATTTCTTTGTCGAAAAACAAAATATAAAAAATACAACGAATATTTTTATTGAAATTATGTAAGTAAATTTTGTTTAATTCAATCAACAAATGAAAACTTTTTTTAAAGAACAACTATTTTCACAAAGTATTTACGATTCAAATACTCTTTCACGTATTTTTCTCAACACACCCACACACAAATCACAAAATCGTATTATGTCTCATAGGCCTAGAGAAAGCATTTTTTTTAATACAAAGCAAATAATGTAATAAATTTAGTTGATGATCATGAGATAGAAACAATTTCAACTGCAAAAGTTGCACACTTCCCCCAATAATAAATTGAAGTAAAATTTTGTAGAAAGTCGATGCAAAACATTAAGCTTTATAATTATAGATAAAATATGACAAATCAAAACATTTTGAGCCCCATGATAAATACACCATTTTAAACACCAATGCTAATCATTTATTAATCATTGACATTTTTTAATAAACATTATACACATTCATTTTATTCTATAAATGCTATAACGAAATTAAAAATCTGGAAATATTATGACACACTGAAAAAATATTTATAGAGATCCCTATTACATATAAGAAATACCAAAAAAAGCAAAAATAATAATATGAACCAATTATAATGTTTAATAATATTTAATAATTTAATTTTATATACATTATTATATTTTTAATATAAAAATAATATAATCATAAAGAAAATAGTATTCTCCATTAACAATGCAGTAAAACTACAAAAATGTTATTAGAAACATCCTATAAATCCCTTAGCTTCCAGAAAAAAAACATTACTTTAGGTTACAAATTTTAATAAATATATACTCGTATGTTGGTAATATCAGATATTTGGTTTTAACGGTTTGTTTTTGGCAGATAAAAAGTTTATTTGTGTTTTAAGATTTGTGTAAAAAAATAAATTAAACGTGCAAGGAAATTTGAAATGCTGACAGTGGCGTTTGGCGAGTTAAATTCGGTTATAACCGGTTTAAAGAAGCCAGGGTAGATTTCAAAGACGATGTTCGTCATTGTCGTCCGAGCGAGTACCAAACACCAACAATTTTTTTCACAATCGTCGAATTACTATCGTAGAGATTTCTGATGATGATCTCGGCATATCGTTTGGTTCATGTCAAGCTATTTTTACGTATGTATAAGGCATGAAATGTGCCAGAGCGTATATGGTTCAAAAATTGTTAATTTGGAGCAAAAGTATAGGTACATGGACATCGGTCATAGGGTTTTGAAAATCGTTGTTCCGCACTACTTTTTATAATATTTTTTTTGCGTACGCCAAGACCAAATATACAACTATCACCAAACTAACTAATAGAGGGTGGCGAAAAAGCGGTTTTAGTTTTTCAAATTCTACATTACCTTAAAAAGGTCATAAGTGATGGTGAATCATGGGTGCCCAATCATCCAAAATGGAAATGTCCAAAAGAACCAATCCCGAAAAGAGGTTTCTTTAACGGTACGAGATTGTTATTGATCGATAAATAGACGTTGCATTTTGTATCAGACCTTATCGGGTTGTTTTTGATGACCCTCATATACTCTTACGACAAAAATATTTGTTAAGGTCCCATAGTTTCCTTGGACCAAATCCGTTTCAGACAATTTTGAGCCGTTTTACTAACAGCCCTCTTTCTAACTTATATCCAGTTTGAGATTTAGAATATCGGTGCACTGCTTCTGGTACCTTCTTCAATGTGCCACAACAAAATGTACAACAAATGTACCTCATGGTTTCCTTTGACCAAATCCGTTTCATACAATTAGGAGGCAATTTATAAATGTCCATCTGTATTTCTGACTGATGCGTAGGTGTATCCGATTTCGTCCAAAATTTGCACATAGTCATTTTTCTAATCGAAATATTAGATTTATACCCCAAGTTTTTTTTGGCAAACCTAATTTGTAATTAATAAAATCGAACACTATATTATAACCGATTGCATTCAAACTTTACACTTTGTAATATTTTTCCAAACCTAATTCAAAACCGCATATGGCACCTCTGACTACAGATGTTCAGCTCATTAATACAAATTTGTTCATAATACAAAGCGAATGATGAATCCTGTGTGGTCTAAACTTGGCAGACGCTAATATTTTCACTAGTCATACAATTTGTGCAACTATCAGCAATATAGGACCATCATCTCCAATAAGCTGTTATTCTTTTGTAATACCTATATCGAAATTTGTTTAAAATTATTCATTTTTCAAACATAAATATTTTTTGAAAGTCTTTCGTATGAGTCCCATTACAACTGAAGCGCTATACATTAAAAAATAAAATAAAATATTTTAAATATTATTTTGGCTATTCTTACATTTTTTAAAAGTTGTTCAGATGTGAAGGACTACAAGAGTAATATATTCTGTAATAAAAAAAAACCAGGAGTATTATTTGATCTGTAATCATCCGATATAATACGATAGTGCCATTATCAAGCACAATAGTCTTGTCAATTAGTAATGCTTCAACAAATTTTACTAAGCACAATAATAAAAAATATAACATTCTAATACTACCATAACATTTTATTTTAATTTATTTATAATAATTTTAAGATTACCAAAAATGTACTCCCCAAATATTATAAAAAAAATAGTACATAGAAACAGTGTGTCTTCAAAATTTGTAACGAAAACATCAGTATACATCTTTCACATACATATGCGAATTTTACATAAACCAACATACAACATTCATTAGTTTTTAGGATTTTTATACTATAAAAAATTATGACAATACTATTTTCTATGACATATAAATAATACCAAATTTTATTTTTCTCTCTTATCCCACAAATAGGCTATTTGAAAACACGTTCAAAACCTCAAGGAAGCTGTACGGGTTTTTGGCGTATAGAGAAAAGTTTTCGTTATTGGATACGAAAAACCGTGAAGAAACAATGGTTCTATTGGTTTGTCATAGTGCTGGTGTTCTTGAATACAGTGTGTGTAGCAGTCGAACACTATGGTCAGCCGCCGTATTTATCCGATTTTTTATGTAAGTCAAGCGATTATGAAATGAAATCACTCAGATTAAAATATGGTAACATGTGAATTTATTTGGCGGATATTTTTAATGTTTTTTCTTTCTCTTAATCTTTTTCTCCTTTTGTTTTCTTCTCTTGTATGCTTTTTTCGTTTCTCTTTTTACAGACTATGCTGAATTTGTGTTTCTGGGCCTGTTCATGTCGGAAATGTTCATCAAGATCTATGCCATGGGTCCAAGGATATATTTCGAATCGTCATTTAATCGTTTCGATTGTGTCGTCATTAGTGGTTCGATATTCGAAGTTATATGGTCTGAAGTTAAGGGTGGCTCATTCGGTCTATCCGTTTTGAGAGCGTTACGTTTGCTGCGTATATTTAAAGTGACCAAATATTGGTCGTCACTGCGAAATCTTGTGATTTCGCTATTGAACTCGATGAGATCCATCATTTCATTGTTGTTCCTGCTCTTCTTGTTCATACTGATATTTGCCCTACTTGGCATGCAATTGTTTGGCGGGCAATTTAATTTTAGTACGGAAACTCCCGAAACAAATTTCAACACCTTCCCCATAGCCTTACTGACTGTCTTTCAAATTCTAACCGGTGAAGATTGGAATGAAGTTATGTATCAGGGTATTATATCACAAGGTGGCGCTAAAAGAGGAATGATTTACTCTGTGTAAGTTTTTATTTCGTTTTCTTCTTCTTCCCCCTTACTACTACAACTTCTACTTGCCTATTTATCCTCTCGTTATCCTACCCCCAAAGCCTTCCGATAAATATTTTTATGTTTGGCCTTATTTTATCCTTTATTTTAGTATTTTTTTTTTTTGATCTCCCATTCAGTTTGAACTTTTTTGAAATTAGATTTTTCTTAAAACTACAATAATGAACAAATTCCAATTCTCCTTGTAAAATATCTATCAAACCACCAAATAATATCAACAAAAAAATGAAGATTATTGCTAAAAAAATTAAAATATCAAAGCTTTTATCTTCCATTTTTTATCCCTCTAAAATAATTAAATAGCTTAGATTGGTTTAACCAATTAATATTAACTCAAATTGTAGCTTCTCTTTTTTCTATTGTCCTTATTCTGTTTTTATTTTACTGCTTTTTTGTTCGACATTCGTTTAGTTGTCCTTTTAGTTTCTCCCATTTTTTTACTTACAACTATTTTATTCCTACTATAAATGTGGTGTCACTTTTTACGAAAAATCAAAAAAAAAAAAACTGAAAGAAAATCAATAACTCTTAGGAAACAAATAATTAGCTTAGTCGATCTATTCCACCAACAAATCATAAAATTCTCCTTCTTCAACCAAGACATTGATGTCAAAACGTAAAAAAAATCATCAATGTTTTCTAAATCAAAAAGTAGTAAAACTTTCCTTTTTTAGATTTTCCATATCAACTTTATAAGAAAATATTTTTTTAACTAGAATACCCGTTTAGAATTGAAGAAACTAAAATAATTCACAATCACCAGCTAATCATAAATTTTTTTGTGGGGTTTAATAGCAAAATTTCTATTTTCTATGAACTTTAAAGCAGTAGAATATCATTTCCATGTTATTAGTATTTGGTAAGCTAGTATGCTTCTATACACGAAGAAAACTTAAAGGAATGTATACGATGTGAGTATGTGTGAGTTGGAATATTTAAGTATTTCTATTTATTTAAAAATTGAAATTAATAATTGTAGTCTAATATTGTTATACCCTATGTTAGAACTTAATGCCTATTACGTATCATTTTGCTATATATTTCAGGCCTAAAAATGAATATACGTATATTTATCATTATATTTATGATGTATGATTTACATGTGCTCAAACTAATTGATTTTAGGATGCCATTTTTATGATGTACGACACAAAAAAGACAGGTCAGGGCAAAAGTTATGTGTGTTCTCTTTTTTTTTCTAATTTCTTCGAAGACGTCAGACACACAAATTGTGATGTTCCACTCAAAGCGACCATATTTTCCAATGAAAGATGCGACCGTTTTATGTGCCTCTGCAGCGAACAAGCACTTCAAACATCTTATAAACGTCTTTTTACGGAAGTTTAAAAACAATTATTTCGAGAAAATGTTCACGTGTTAATTCAAACATTTGGGAAAATAATTTTTTAAGTCACTGTAAAAATACAACACATGATCGTACATCAACCTGTCCTGAATCAAGAAGTATAGTCGGACTTCCACGAAAATCTAACTTTGCGTGGTTCTATATTCTGAGCTTGCTCAATATTTCGCGATATTTGCATCCTCTTGACCTACTAGAGGTAATTAAATATTACTAATATTCCGTACAGTCCTTCTAATTACTTGTCTAGATTCCCTTCACCGTGGGTTGTAATGTGATGTTCGGTTTTCAATTGTGGCCTATAGATCGGCTCGAAAAAAAAAAAACAAACACAAAACACTCCATCCCAATATAATTATCTGATCAACACCTGGATCCTCATGGAACATTTCAAAGCGATCAGCTCTATATTTTCGCCCAATAGTTTGGTTACTGAATAATATATGAATACGTAAGCACCTTTAAAAATTTTAAGTGTAACTCCCACATCCGAATACGGCAATATAATTGGTATCAATTTAAAGGTCAACCACTCCTCTTGGATGTACTATCAACTTCCCGGGTCTATGTCCTTCTGGTGTAAATATATACGCTATACAATACAAATGTTGTCATATTTCACACAAAAGTCTGGGTCCATTTGACCCGCTAAATATTGACCTATTTTTATCAAAACAGGCATGCTAATTCTTTAGCCTGACCCCTTCTCCAAGTAATAATTCGCGATGTTTGGGTCATAGTTTCGGCCTCTGGAGCGACCAGAAAACCCGACAAGAAAAAAGTTTTTGGTCCATTTCATCCCCTGAATATTAACCGTTATTTACCACTTGCGACTGCACAAAGTTATAATAACCTGACAACATAGTTGTGTAGGGTATAATAATACGTTGGCATTTAAGGGAACCCCCCCCCCCCATTCTCGATTTTTTATTTTTAAGATTTTAAATGGGCTGGTAAATGAATGCCAATGCTTGTTAAGGTTTGTAACTTTGCATATATATATTTGAAGATTTAAAGAGGAAGAAAAATAATTTACAAAAAATTTTTGTTATTGTTTTGTTGTTGTTTTTTGTAATTAAAGAAAAGTCCTTATTTTTGATGGCGGGCATGATAGCTCCTCACTGGAACATCGGAATCCGAAAATTCCACGGTGTTAGAAAGAGTACATGTCTGGCTCTCGTATGAACTAGGATTATTGACTTCGGCTATATCTTCAAGAGTTCTTGAGATTTTCACTTGAAATTTTGTAGAGAAATTCTTTAATCAGTGTAGATTCGAATTTTATCAACAAAAATTTTGACCCCGAGAATGGGGGGGTCCCCTTAAGTCAGTATTTAGTGACAGGGGTTCGGATATACTGCAGCACAGCGTCATGGCGTTGAGTTCATCATATTTTGGCACTTTTCAACAGAAATGGAATCCCATGCACCCTTAACAACCTCCCACAATGAGGCGTTGCTTGTAGGTTTTCTTTGCGCAACCACAGCCTTTGCATCACACCATAAATTCTCAATGGAATTGAGATCGGGAGACTGTTCTTGTCATTCCAATACCCTTATGTTATTTTCTGCCAACCACTGTTTTGCAAGAAGGCTAGTGTGGTTTGTGGTTTCGTCTTCAGCATATGGAAGTATTACTTCATATAATATTTTGACGTACCAGTGGCGATCCATGATATATGTGATAAAGTACATTGGTCCAACTCCGTAGAAAGAAAAACATGCCCATATCATTACACTGAGTTCTCCACGTTTTACAGCCTTTAACGTAAATTTTGGATTATTTTCTGAATTAGGAGGCCGTCTTATGTGAGCTCGTGAGCCTTTCCGCCATATAGGACAATTTTCGACTCATCGGTCCACAAAACATTCCTCCATTTTTCAGTGGGCCAATCCAGGTGCTCATTAGCTAATTTTGATCGATTACCTACATGTCGCGTCGCATCTTGAAGATTTGAGGGAACAGTTTCTACCCTAGCTTCCTCAAAAAATGGAGTGTATTTTATAACATTGCGTATCATAGTCGGCGAGCAGCCATAAATTAGTTTTACTTCATAAGATTTTCCTTCCGAAATCAGCCTTCTTATCAACAATCGTTTTTCTACTGTACAATTCGCGCCATGTCCCATTAAAAAAATAAAAATAAACAAAATTTTGTTAAATAATATACCTATTTTATTTAAAATAAATTATGTTTACCTGTAAACACTGAAAACTTGTAAAACGTAATCTTGATCAGTATATAATGTAATTTCGTAAATTGGGTTATTAATATGTAGCAGATCGATTCGCAATTTCCTTAATGTTAAGTCTAGGGTATAACAATATTTTATTATGCGACATATTAAAAAATTCTCATATTTTACCAAATTTTATGTTAAAGATTGATTTCAAATATTTATTAAATAAATTTGAAAAAAATCAGACATCAATAAAACTGTATATAATCTGCAAAAGTCTAAATCAGCTTACAAAACCCATTTTTGGCAGTATTCCCCATAATTAATACTGTATACATGATAAACATATTCAATATATTTTATAATTAATATATACACAATAGAAGTAATCTATATTATAAATCCTGGCTAATTTTTAATATTTACAAACCATCTTTTGCTTAATATATACACAATTCAAATTTTAAAAATATTCATAAAATTAAATATTATAGTTCCAGATATATTTTGTAAGCCTAAAAATATTTATATCATATAAATTTTGCTTCAAAGATCTTTTTATGTTTTAAACAGTTATACAGATACCTTACATATAATTTCTTATTTATTCAACGCACATCTCTAGTATACATTCCTTTAAGTTTAGAAGAAAAAAATTATTTCCACTCATTCAAAATTTAAAGAAATTTAAATTAAAAAAAACTACAACAACATGCCCCCATCCCTAATAACACATACCCTTAACAAAGAAAATGTCTATTTAATGCTAAACAACAACAACAAAAGTTTATAACTACGCCAACTATAAATCCAGTATTAAATAGAGCTTTTCATCCTTACTCAATAGCATATATATTTCAATTTCGAAGGGTTAGTGAATAATTGTTGAGTTGTTGTTCTAATAACATTAGAAATAAAACAAGAAACAACAACAAAAACAATCACTAAATATTTTGAATCCCTGCTACGATGTTTAGAACGTCGAACCATTAATGTGTGCAATCCTATTTTGTGTGTGTGTGTGGTAGTGTAATCATGAGGATAAACCTAAAATGAAACTTTGTGAATCCTTGTTCACCAAACCAACTACGTAAAAAACAAAGCTTTAAAAGTTTGTTTACATTTGTCATACAAAATAACAAATTTCAAGTTTGTAACATAAAGGTTATACCTTATGTTCGATCCATGACAAATAAACAAACTTTTAAAATTTAGAAGCTTCATTTCCCCCCAAATGCAGGTATTAGTAGAATTAAAAAAAAAAAGTTTGGTTTTTTAGCAACAAAAACATCGTAACTTGTGTATAGTATTATTAATTGTTAACAAAGTTTCTCGTTCAATTTATACATAAACAACAAAATACAACCATTTCATAATTTCGTAGAGTTATTTTTCTTAGATAGCTTTCAT